CGTTATAATAATAATTATTGCTGTTTGAGGAGGTATTTTCCTGCAGTAGCAAGAGCTCTGTGACCCTAAGCATTTAACATACGTTGTTTTCTTTTGCCCTCCTGGCAAATCTGGGAGTTCCATATGGTGATTGTTCCCATTTTAGACTTGAGGAAATAGGCTCAGAGAGGTGAAGTAACTTGCCTGAGGTCACACAGCCAAAGGTGACAGAATAGGGATTGAGCCCAGGTCTGTACTCCAAGTCTGTGGCCTTTCCTGTGGGCAGTGCTGTTCCAGGGGACGTGGGCAGCAGGGGTGCTGGTTTCCTGGGAGCCGGGCTAATTATTTGAAGAAACCGATCATCCAGAGCACGTTAGAACCCCGATGTGTGAACTCTCGCATCCCAGCAGTGACATGTTTGTCTCCTGTCTTCCAGAATCACCGCCACCCCCCTACTCTCGGCTGTCTCCTCGTGACGAGTACAAGCCACTGGGTAAGTGTGTCCTCCTTCTGACCCTTGGGGAGGTGCACACATCCCCAGCACCCCACCTCAGTGTCAGAGGGCCGGAGAGGGAGGGAAAGGGGAACGCCAGCTTGGTTGCCTTTGAAATGGGGTGAAGTTTTGCAAACACACCCCGAGTTGGGCCAGAACAGGCCCTGCCTCAGCGCAGGCTATTTACATCTTGAAATTCCTCGCTCATCATTAACCTCTCTGTGACCTTTAAACATAGGCCTGTGGGAGACGAATGGGTTTTGACTTCAGCATCTTGTTGGAGGTGGGTTGGTATTTCTGTCTCCATCCCGCTCCCTTCCTCCCCAGCCTTAGGTGGTTCTCCTTTAGTGTGTATTCACTAGCACTATGACAGATAGGTTGAGCTGGAAGTCGCTGTTAAGAGGAGCTGTATGTTTTAAGCCCGAAAGTTCACCTGGGCAGAAACAAGTTAGAATATTTAGAAAGCAAATGCCTTGATACACAGAGTCCCTGGCATGGGCGGTCCCCCTGCATAGTAATGTCCTTGTCAGCAGGTCCCACTGTGTGTTTTCTGTAAAGCCTTGGGGCTAAATGAGCGGCTCATATCGTGGGGTAGATGCATGTGGTTTGAAAAGTGGAGATGGCTTGTTCCCTGGGTGTCCTGGCTCCTTCACTGAAGAATCTCAGTGGTGGGGGCGAGTCAGTGTGGCCTTGATAGTACCAGGAGAGCAACTCTGTGGCCCAGGCAGTTCCTGTGGGACTCAAGCTTTAGAAGTCAGATGGCGTGGCAGTGATGCTAACACATTCCACCCAGTGACCACAAAAAGTGGGTTTTGTTTGGTTTTTGGTAAAGGCCTCTTCCCGGTAGCGTGTGTCAGCATCGTCTGGGAGGTCACTTCTGAGTGTCACAGGCTCTCAGGCATCCAGTCCAGTTTTCTTTCCAGCCCCCTCCCCCCATGGAGTCCAAAGTGCCCCCCGGGTCCCTGCAGCAGTTTGTCCTCCTCAGTCTAGGAGGACAGAGGCTGTCCCATGACGGTGTGTGAGTCAGTGTCTTCACGAGGGCAACTTTCTCATTGTTTTTCCTGAACTATGGTCATCCCGTGGATGGAGGAGCTTTATTTAGCTCTCTGGGGGAACTGGGGAAGTCATCTGGTGGGACTCTGCCTCTTCATAGATGAGGACTCAGGAAGGATGTTCCAAGTGCTGAGCAGAAAGGCTGAGGAGGAAGCCCAGAGCAGCCCCTGATCGGCTCAGCAGCGCCCCAACCTCCCCACCAAGCCTGTCTCCCCATTTTTCTAAGTTAACATAATTGCACTAGGTGCTCAGAAGATCCCTAATTCCATTAGAGAGGAAAAAAGAAAAAAATGTTCTTCGTAAATGTAGCACCTGAGTTGGAATGTCAGGCCTCATTGCCCTGAGGAATCGTGGGTCAGCTCGTGATAAAGCTGCAAAACTCAGAACACCGTCCAACCGGGCAGAGTGACCATCTGGAACCCAACAGGTGTCCCAGTTATTTTATAAATGGGACAACCGAGACGGAGGAGGAAGTGACACTTGCTGGTGGTCCTATAGCTCAGGGGTCCGCAAACGACAGCCCATCATTTGTATTTGCATGGCTTATGAGCTGAGAATGGATTTTTTTTTAAATGGATTAAAAAAAAAAAAAACAGACCCAAAGGACTATTTCGTGACATGTGAAAATTATATGAAATTCAAATTTCAGTGTCTGTAAAGAAGTTCTGCTGGAACCCAGCCACGCTCACCCATTTCCGTGTTGTCTGTGGCTACATCCACAGGACAGCGGCCGAGGGGCATTGCTGCAGGGGAGACCATATGGCTCGCAAAGCTGGAAATATTCACCACGGGGCCCTTTGCAGACAAAGTCGTTGACCCCTGAGTTTGCTGACTGGTAGTGGAGGTGGGACTCGAAGCCCGGGCTCCAAATTCCGGATGGGGTTTCTCCTTAGGGCTCTGAGCGGGGGTCAGAGCAGTTCACCAAGAAACAGGGTTTAGCCTGGGATGTTGCCACTTAGTGGCAGCAAGACTTGGGGCCTGAACGCTTTGGGAAGATTAGGAATGAAAAGCAAAATTCTTTTGAGAAGTTCCCACCCAGGCCTTGAGGTCACTATTATTATTATTATTTTTAAAGAGATTTTCCATCTCTCCTTACTTGCCTCCAAGTGCATTTGACCAGCAGATAACTTTTGCATACCCTGGTAAATAGTCCGAGTTATTTTGTGTATTATTTTGTTTTCCTTGCATTGTTACTTTTTCATAAGCACAAAGTCAGTTCACTTCTAAGCTGCTCTGATCACATGAGACCAAAAAACAAAATAAAACTCAGAACCCCCAGTCAGCATCTGGCAAGTGGAAAACGAAAAAGAAAGAAAAAGGCCAAATTGGTTAATGTTTCATCTTCCCGCTCCCCAAGCCATGTGGTAAAAGGAAAAAATTCCTACAGGATGGAATGGAATCCTAGCTAGCTAGGGCCTAAGCTGATGGTTTTTGTCCCAGGAATCCCCAGCTTAGAGCGGCCCTCCTGGAGCCAGGTGGGACCAAGCTGAGCCAGACCTGGGTTGTGTTGGGTGAGAAGATGAAAAATGCTCCAGGCCTCACAGAAAGAACATGCCTTCTGACTCCTGGACAGACCTGTCCCTTAACGGGGACAACGCCCCACTGCTGGTGGCAGAGGCACAGGCCCAGGAAAGACGTTCCAAGTCGGCCTGCCCCACGAGGCATTGGCTTATCCAGCGAGGAGCGCAGTGTTCAAGAGAAAACAGGGGAAAACAAAATAGCACATGCGATGAAATGCTTGCAACTACTTAAATGACAATGAATGCCTTAAAACACACACACACACACACACACACACACACACACACTACGTCCACGGCACTGCAAGTTGCTCTGTGAG